TCCTCAAAATACCCAGCTGTATCCAAGTTTCTGCCCGATCTGGTTTTGCTCTACATCCCAGCACCCTGAGCTGAGCTCTGCAGCTCACCCCCACTGCTGGGAGGCTGTGGACAGCATCTCCTCTGTGTCTGCCCCTGGGCAGGGAGAGCCTCTGTAGATATCTGTAGGCAAATGCAGTTGTTCACCATTCTGCATATAGATGTGCTCTGTATTTGCATAAAATGCTGTGCATGAATTGAAACCTGCTTGTCATTAATCAAGGGCTTTAGTGGGCTGGAGTTTTTCACTGGTTTTTTTTTTGCTGAGTCTGGACTTCAGTATTTTCACACTTGCAAACTGCACTGAAAAAAACCCTGACTGCCGTCATCTGCCTGATAAATAATTGTTCAGAAGTATAATAAATGCAAAACAACACTTCCTTGTTCTAGTTTTGGACGTGGATGTGGGAGAAGGATAGAGAGTGGCTTTTTGTAAGTATTAGCCTTACTCAGCAAGAGGTGAAACACCCATTTGACCAGCCTGTTTCATAACTGCTTCCTAAAGCACGTGGAAACAACTGGGACTGATTCTGCCAAGTGTGCTCATTCAATATAGAAGTTTACTCCACCAAAAATCAGCCTGAGTCTTCACAGTGCTGCTCTGAGTAAGGTTTTTCTTGTTAGCATTAAAAAAAACCCCACAAATCTCCAGTCATAAACCAAAGAACTAGATCTGCATTAAGGAATTAAAAATAAAATCCAAATCACAAAGTTTCCATGAGTGAAAGAGCAAATTTTGTTTTGAATTAACAAATGTATGCATCAATGAAAAGACACCACCAGACAACTGGCTCTTCCCCAGTGCATCTTCAAGTCCAGAGCTAGTGAGAGCTAAGGAGCAGAGGCAGGCACTTACGGAGGTGACAGGAACATCAGCTTGCTGAGATGAAGTCTACTGAGTATTTCATGCAGAAATACAAAAGGTACCTCCTGGACTGAAAGGACTGTAGGAAAACTCTGACTATGAAGGGTGACAGCCTAGTTGCATAGCTGTTGAGGTGCAGCAGAAGCATGCTTTGGCCCATAAGGTGGCTATGTTGCATTTTTAGGCTGTTTTTAGGCTGGGGAACTGTTACCAAAATAATCCCACATGGGCTGATTCCACTGCAGCTGCACCAGGGTTAGCAACAATAGGAGCCTTAGTATAGACAGCTTTCGGCTCCAGCAGCCGTTTTGAGCGCTGTATCAGTTAACCCTGCTCTGAGGAGGGTTAATTGACACAGTACTGCAAATGGCTGACGAGATGAAAACTCATATATTATGACTCCCAACATCCTTAACAATTGTGCAGCTGCATTCATATTAGCAATGGTGGGAATTTGGAGGAGGGAAGAAAATTCCCCAGTACAGATGAGGCCTGAGAGTGAGCCTTAATGTTCTTGTCTGGGTCCTGTTTGTCAGCCGCAGTCATGCTTCCCTAAAGCATTCTCCCAGCCATCTGCAGATCGCTGATTATGAAGCAGCAGCCGTTGTTTGTTCTACCAGTTGGATGAAAAGAAATGAGCAGAAGAGTGGCGATTCATCCTGATAGGTGCGCTCAAGGTTCTTGTTCCTGCTCTTCTCCTCTCTCGTATCCCCGGAGACCACAGGGAGTCCATGCAAAAAGAACCATGGAAAACAAAAGTTAACATTTCCCACAAATAGAAAGTTTGCAAACCCTACTTCTCCTGAGAGGATTGGTTTTCTAGAACAGAGCATCAGGATTCCCAGTTCCTTGAGTACCCACTGCAGCCTTTGACTATGCAAGTATCTTTAGCTACTCTGGTTGGCCAAAAAAGTGAAATTCCCAACCAGTATGTGACCCTTATAGACATGATAGCTTCTAGCACTGCAGAGGCCTCTAAGGAGCTCTCTAAGTGACTTGTGAGCTCCATGAAGAACTGAGGAAATGGACAGAGATTCTCCTGAATTTTACCATCTGCTCTGCCATCCCTGGCCTGAGACATCCTTCAAAGCCACACATAACTGGTGCTCCCCCTGAGCCAGGGCCTTAAACTCACTGTATTATCCCTTTTGAGTAGATTGCTTTCCATGAGAACTGGGGTGGAGAAAACATGTCGAGGAGGCACTGTAAAGTCGGTGACACACCTCCTATCACAGACTGCATTGCAGACCTTCAAGGAAAAGTAGCAGCTTGGAAAAAACCTAAATATTCTCTCTTTGTGTAGTGCACTAACAGTTGAGACCATCTGAGCTCCCAGACTTCCACAGGTGGCAGTTCGATATAGTTATGTATGGGTTACGTTAGGTTGCTATCCATAGGGGACATCTCCTTATGATGGTGCGTAGCATGAGCCTGTTGATATACACAGTGTGATTCTTCTGCATCCACAGGCTTTTGAGAAAGGAGATAGATGAAGAAGTGAACAAGGAAAGGGGGCACCTTGCTGCTATTTAGAGTCCCCAAGGCCTATTTAACCTGTGATTTTCTGGCTTTTTTGCTGCAACCTGGAGCTCTGTCTTCTGATGCAAAACGTTATTGCTGCTGATAAACTGCACAATTTAATCAGATCCCCTCTGGGAACAGAGGCCATTTAACCCTCTACAAGTCATCACACTGACTACAGAATAACAAATGGCTTCTTTATAAGTGTTCTGGGTTAGGTAACAAAATCTTCATCTTATTTTTCACTCTTCTTAATCTTGTAGGAAATTCCTTTAATTTCTTTGGAAATTCTAAGTTTGTAGGCTCATGAAGAGTGGAAACCAGGCGTTATTTTATATTTATAATTTTTTTACTACCCTATTATGAATGCTTCCAGAAAGGAAAAAAAAAAAATAGAAAGGACTGACAAGTAATACTTCTGTTGATAGAGCAAAGCTCCAATCTCAGGCCAAGGCTGGTGAAAAGTAGGTCATCTCTACTCCAGTAACTCTGCCGGATTGTCTTCAATGAATTATGCAGTTATATTCACTGGTGTTTGCACTGGACCATAATCCATACTGTCAGGCGATGGATTGGAACAGCAGAAGGACCAGTTATCACATCTCTTTTGGGAAGGAATCTGTAACAAAACCAAGAACTGGTTCTGGCTTCTCAGTTTACACCAGCCACCTGAGGAAGTCAGGATTCTGGGTTCTGGATGTCATGTTGCTTACCTGTGTACTCTGGATATAAATGATGCAAGAACAAGTTTTTGGATTAGTCTAAGCAGGTTTGTATCCCCAGAGCTGCCATCAGGAATACCATACCGGTTTATAATCTAAGAACTTCTGGTTAAGGAGGGAATCAAGACAGTTTCAAATAAGGAAAAGACCACGAGTCATTCAGATCTCTGATACTAATTCTTGTTGTGATAGTGAACCTGTAGGCAGACACCCCTAGAAAGACCGAAGCTGCTGTGCAGGGCACAGTGCAAGTTCCAAGTCTTTTCATTATCCAGACAGCTTTTCAAAGAGTGATTTTAGGAGCACTGCTGCCATGTGAAGATTATTTGCTTATGGCTGTATGTAAAGCATCTTCTTACTATGGTATTGTTACTAGAACTACTCAAGGGAAGACTAATGGAACTGTTATTAGACCATGTAAGATAAACTTGTAGAATGGGAATTTTGGAACTACATGCTTTTATGCATGTAGCACTTTCTTCAAAGAAATGGATACATGAATATGCTTCAAAGAGATTAATGGATGTTATAAAAGTTACTTGCTGCAAAGCTTAACAGACTTTACAATCTCCACTTGGAATCCAGATCTCATACAGCAGCTTCATCTTTTGATGTACAGAATGGATGTAGGGCTCTGTGGATTTCTTCATGGTGTGATGGAAACTGAGTGTTTTACAAAGTATAGTTGGAACTACAAGACTTTCCTGATAGCTGTGAGATTTAACAGGTGGACTGTGTCCATCTTCCAGAGCTGGTTGCTTTTGGAGATGGGAGGGGCGCAGGCTTTGGGAGGCTTGTGATTGGATTAAGAACACTTTGGGAATATTTTCAGACTTAAGAAGTGTTCTAGGATTACTCTTTCTTTAGCCCATCTGTCTGCAGTGTACTTTTCCTATTCCACAGAAAATAACTCAGCTGTCCCCTCAGCACAGTCTTTGCTCATCAATGGCTGCGTGTGTTTGACTGGAGTAACTTTTCCCTGATTATGTTTATTTATCTGTAGACAGCTAAGAATTTATAAGGTATCGTGACAAATAGATGCATCTAGATGGCCAGTACAAGCCGCACTGCAGCGGCATCTCTGCCCTCTTCAGCATTATATATGAAAACGTAACTTTCTTCCCCCACCCCCCTTCTAAGAGCTCTCCTGTGTTTGTCCACCCCCGAGGATGTGAGGAGACAGTTACAGCAGCAGCTCCCACTCAATCAAAGCGCAAGACCTTGAGAGAGGTGTGGCACGGGGGGAAATGCCGAAGTCGCACATGGAGCCCAGGTGCGAGCGTTTTCTTTGGGGGACTCACAGAAATCGGGGTCCTCCCTGGCCTTTGTGGCCATCTGCGTGTGCCACAGCGAACGGGCGCCGAACCGCGGCTTGCGCGGGACAGGACCAAACGGCAAACGGGGGAGAAGGCTGTGTGGGACACGCTACTTGGGGCGCTGGGGAAGGTCTGTAGACCGCAGCGCCGCCGCGCTCACGGGAACAATGTCGGGGCAGGGCTCTCCAGAAGAGGTCATTCCCGCGCCTGTCACCGTCGCGGCAGGGAAGCTCCGACCCGCTGCCGGGTTACACCGCCCACATCTTACCCACGCGGCCGCCGTCCCTGCAGGCGCCGAACTCTCCGCACCGTGCGCCGCCGGCAGCGCCACCCCGGCGGCGGAGGAAGGGGCCGCGCTCCCGGAACGCGAGTGGCGCACGGCGGGCCCGGCCCGGCCCGGCCCGTTCCCGGTGCAAGGGCGGCCCCGGCGCGGCCGCCTTTGTTCCGCTCGGTGGCGGGGCACCCACGTGCAGCGGCGGCGGGGCGGGGATGTGTGCGGGGGGCACCGAGCCCGCGCTCTCCCCCGCCGAGCGCTGCGCGGGGCGCCGGGAGCCCGGCCTGGCCCTTTAAACCTGCCGCGGCGGCGGGGCCGTGCCGGTGCGGGACACGTGAGGCGGCCGCGGCGTGCGGCGGCGGCGCTACCCGGCTGCCGTGCTGCTCGTGTTTTCTCTGGCCGGCCGCCAGCCCCCGCTCGCTGGGTTTTCGGTTTTTCGTCCTGCCTCCTCCTCCTCCTTCCCCCCCCGCACCCGCCCCTCTCCTTTCGCACAGCCCCCTCCTGGTTTTTCCACCCGCGGGTAAAGGTGGATTTTCTTTTCTTTTCCTTTTTTTTTTTTTTTTAAGCCCTCATCCTAGTTGAGTCCGTGGGCAGGACTCGCATAATAATATTTCCAGTCGCAGCAGCTCCCATCACAGACACGAACCCAGCACCGCCCCCCCCCCCCCCCCCTTCCCCAATCTCCCAAATCGTTTTATTATTTTTTAAATGATCGCTCTTTTTGCCCGCTGCTGCCGAAATCCCGGTCTTCCCAGGGTGCATGCTTCTGGCAGGACCGTGCAGTGTTCTCAGTGCATTTTCAGTGTGTCTTATCTTAATTTGTCCTGATCCGATCTAAGCGCGATAGCCACCACTTGCTATCAATTTGTAGGATCTTTCTTCCCCTTCTTGGTTTGCTCCCGACTACCCTCGGAGTGTTTCCCTCTCTTCTTGCATTTCCAGGGTTGCAATTTACTCTGCCTTTTCTTCTTCTATTTTTTTTTTAAACCTCCCCTTTTTTGAATTGCTTCATGTTACTTACTAACCATTCCTAAATTGTAAGAGAGATTCATTCCCCCTCCTCTTCCACCACCACCAGCACCACTACCACCATCACCTCCTCCTCCTCCTCCTCCCCTTCTCTTCTCCTTTTTGGCAGCACCAGGACGTCCGGTGTGGTGGTGGCAGCGAGCAGCAAAAGCAGCAAGAGCTCGTTTTGATTCCCCCCCCTTCCAAGGTGCTTTGGAGAGACTGGTTTAAGGCTGAGCAGCAGAAGTCACGATGAGTGCACAAGGTGAGGGACCCGGTCAGCCTTCCACTGCTGCCCAGGAGCAACCTGCAACCGCAGAGCCTCAGAAGAGAGGACGAGGCAGACCCAGGAAGCAACCACAAGTCAGTATCGCATAGATACGTAGAGCCGCAGATCTCTAGGCATGTTACAGGCATGTACATGTATTATGCTGCAAGCGACGGAGTCCCGGAGCCGGGGCGGGGGGCTTTGTTGCGCGCTGCTTCCCGACGAGGCGGTGCAGAGGCGTAGCGAGGGGCTCCGCCGGGCGCCCCGGCGGGGGGACCCCGGGAGCGGCGGGAGCTGCGGCGGGCGGCCGAGCCACCGCGCTGCCTCGGGACTTTCACTATTGTGCACGGAGCGAGCTGGGGCTTTTCAATGTAAATGGGGAACATGGAGCAGCGCGGCTCCGACCAACCAGCGCTCGCTGGGTCATTTCGAGCTGATTTTGAAATTGCGAAAGCGAGGAGCGGGGAATGGGGCTCTCCTGTCTCCCTCCTCTCCCGGCCCTTGCAGTGTCTCGGTCTGTGCGTGCGGGTGTGTGCGCGTGTGTGCGTGTGCGCGTGTGTCGGGTCCCACCGGGGCTGCTGCCGCCTCCGATCTTGACCAGCCCAGCCCCTCACTGCCCCTAGATCTGGGGTTGGGGGAGAGGAGGGTGTCGAGAAAGTCGCATAGGTTTTTTAGCCTTTTTCTTTTCCCTCCCCTGGCGCCCCCCCCCCCCACCTCCCCCCTCACCCCGTCATCGTGTGCAGAGAGGTGCCCCTTTTGCCGATGGAGGTGGGGGGAGGTAGCCGGAGGGGGCTTGCCCTGCGTTTGCAACACCTATTGCCTTTGCTTCGTCGCCTTCCAAAGCAGGTCGAGCCGAGGGGCACCGTTCCTGGGTCTCGACGCGGGGAGCGGAGCCCCGCTTCCTCCCCCCGCACCCCCAGCCGCGAAGGGGACGCGCCGGGCTCCTATTTTTGACTTGCGAGACCTGAATCCGCGCTAAGTTTGCCAGACCCGTGCATTATCGCCACCGCACCCCCTCCCTCCCTTCCTTTCCTTTCCTCTCCTCTCCCCTCCCCGAGTGCCATTGTCGCCGCAACGCCAGGAGGTGCGGAGCCGCACTCAGCCTCGCCGCCGGGTCGGGAGCCCGGGAGCCCCGCAGCTCCTCCGCGGTCGCCGCCGAGGGTGGATCTTCGGTTGCGCCGGCAGCGCGGGGTTCGCAGCCCTTTCCGTGCTTCCCTCGGAAGTCACGACTGGGAAGCAGCGCTGCCTGGGGAGCTCATTTTTTAAAGCGAGCTTCCGTGGGCTTTAAAAATGTTGACTCCCATTCATTTAGCATCAGCCCCGCTGCCCCGGGAGCCGGCGAGGCTCTCCGAAAACACGTCGGGAGCTGAACAGCAGAGCCCCGAGCAAGGGAGAAACCCAGCTGCTTTGCTCCCCCTTCTTTGCCAACCATGTGCTGCTGCAGATCGTATAGAAAGTACTACTTTTTGGAAAGGCATGAAAGCGGAGCCTAAGTTTTTCCCGCTCTGCCCTGCTCAGTGACACTTTTCACCGGAGCGGCTCCGGGCTCTGCCTCCGGTCCCACTTCACCCCCCGGGCTCCCTCGTCCAGCCCCAGCCTTGCGAGCTCCCGCCGGGGCTTCCTATTTTAGTTTTTTTTATTACTATTATTCCCCCCCCCCCCTTTTTTTTTTGTCCTATACCGTTTGGATGTATGGAAGAGAACGAAAAGCGCGTCCCCTTAAGCGTGCTCAGCTGAGCTGTGCAGTGCCTGCGGGGCCCGCCACTGAAGGCTGGAGCAGTTGGGGAAGTCACCTCGCCAGCCTTCCCTCAACCTACCCGGGAATTCAAAAAGCTGAAGGGTTTTAAGCTGGTTTAAGTTAACAAACTGCATTTAATTAGTTTTACCACATCCTGTAATCTGAATGAAATGTATAATATTTAAGGCTAGAAGAGTTTTATAGTGTTTATGATTCACTGAATAAATATTTGGAATCCGAACTCTTAGTAATTCATACCCATTTTTAAGGGCTGGTTATTTACTGTCAGGGAGAGGAGCTAGTTAAGAAACAGCTAAAATAATAAGTGTTCTGTCGAGTCTTTTCAGAGTTGGGGTTTTGTTTCAGGTATTTTTTTTGGTCGAGTTTTTTTGGCTTGCTAGTGCTCTGTTTGAAGAAACTTCTACATTTGCATTTTCGTACAACTCAATTATGCTAGAATAGGTGTGAATATAATGCTGACTGCAGGACAACGGAAAAAAAAATCCAAACTATTTATGCCCTGGAGAAAGAAAATAGTCTAAGCTTACTTTACAGTTTTCTAGTAGTTAACGTTTTTCCCCTAAAAAGAAGTTTATGCTAGAAACTGCATATAATTGTGTCTTGCTGTAATGAAATGCAGTTGAAATTAAATGGCTAAACATTACTTGTTGAATAATCATTCCTACATGAGGGAAATCATAGCCATCTTCTAACACTGTGTTTTCTTCTGTAACTTATGTGCTAGCATAAGCAAACATTTCAACGTTTTTATGCAATTACAAGGGAAGTTAAGCTCTTTTGTTGTGCAAAATATATTTTTTCTTTACCTCGAGTTGTTTATTTTTTCATGTTGCATTTTAAGTATTGTTATTTATTTATACTGTTAATCCACATGTTTTATGTAATGTCTCAGTTACAGTTTATCCTTTAGATGTTCTGGGTTAGCTGTAGCCTCTCGCCACAATAGCATGTTTTCCTGTATTTAGGAACCAACTGGTGAACCATCTCCTAAAAGACCAAGAGGAAGACCCAAAGGGAGCAAAAACAAGAGTCCCTCTAAAGCAGCTCAGAAGGTGAGATTATTAAAGAGAGTTCCTAATGCTGTTTTCTCATTAACTGGTAGCAAAAAGTCCAGTCCTTTAGACTGTGCCCTGTGCAGTCGGAATCTTTGTAATAATAGAAGCTACATAATGCACATCTTTTGCATTTTTAAGATTAGTATTAACATGCTGCATGAAGACCCTAGGTACAGACCATAGGCTTGCTTTCTGAATAATGTGCACATTAGGGAAATAACATACTGTGTGTGATGTGTTTACTGAGATCTCCTGTATCTAGTAAGAAAATCAACATTAAGGATATTATTTTCTCAATTAGGATTTTTGAAAGAGGAAGATTAATTTCTTGTCCACTTACAGTTGTTACTGCTCCAGACCAAATCTGTATATTAAAGCTGAGTGTTTTGTCAAACATAGGTTAATTAGAAGTAAATCCAATTATGTGTTGATGGAAATAAGTGCATATATTGAAATTTACAGCTTTAAAATGTGATGGTAAACTGTGAATTACAGTAAAAGCTTACTATAGCTTGTTCAGTAATCATTTTTTACTTGAAGTGCTGTTAGTCTTCTGAACCACTGCTTCTACTTGGTGATGGGAGCAAACTTTTATTCTGGGGGTTCTGAATGCATGTAGCTATAGGAGAAGCTCCCTGAAATCACTGCATTTAGTGCATGGACTTTACATCACAAATACAATGTGAAACTGTGACTTGATTTTACTTGAATTGGAGGAAGCACAGCATTAGAAAATTAGGAAGGCAAATAAGATCTTTCTGTAGGTTATTATTTTAGAGAAGCCAAATAGTTGTGTATAAGCTCGAAAACAAATATGGGAATTTTGTTTATGTTGATGGTTACACAGCAGTTAGCACTAATTTACAGGTACTAAATTGGAAACAAAAGCTTAGGAAATCTGGTAGTGAACTGTATTGCTTAAGTGTATCAGTATCTTTTAAGTAGATCTGTGACAAAAACGTGTGGGGAAGCTATCTGTGGTCTCATGTAATTATGGTTCACTTTTCAGTATGCCTATGGTACTGACCATATTAAGTTTGATGATTTTCAGTGTTATAAATTGCTATAGTAACTGATGATAAATACTAAATCAGTTGAGGGGGAATATAGTTTCATGCCTGTTTTAAGTGTTTTCAGCATTTATTTGAGGAACGTTTTCCAACTCTTTAATAAAATTTAAAATCGCTTTTAACTTGCTAAGCTGGAAAAAAAACCCAGTACATTCTGTCAAGAAGTTCATGAATTAGTAAAAAATGCTTTACAGGTTAAGTATATAAAATATATCAAAGCCACTCTGCAACCTACTGAGCTTAAAATGTTGATTTTTTTTTTCTTTACATAATAAAAAAGTTCCTCAGTTTCAATTTAAAATAGTTTAAATTTCACTCCTCAAAAGAGAGAAAGCAGATTTTTATTAGTCTAGCAAATCCAAATGTGAGCTTTAGTATTTTAAATATTACTCTTAGGAGTGTTGGCTTTCCTAGGAGAAATATTTGTAGTAAGATTAAATTTTAAGTAATTCATAGAAGTGTGTTTTAAAAAGATATTTCTAAAAGAAATATTAGCATTATTTCATTTATATGAGTGATTTGGAAATCAGTATAAATGGAAAATAACTTAAAAACATTCATTTATATGTAGGTATATCAAGAGCTTTATAGATTATTCTGGTGCATATAGTTGTTGGGTTTTGTTTAATGGAGTTTATGAACTGAGGAACTTCATTGTAATGTTTTGATTTTCAGAATGGATCAAATTACTGCTCTGGTTAAAGAGAACCTTTTTGGGTGTTGATAGTGTAAAAAAAATCACCAAAGACCACCTGTCTTTTTTTATCATTAAAAAAAACCCCTTGGAGAGGTGTGTAATTACAAGACTGACTTGTTTCTAGGTTTATAGATAAAGTATATAAATGTTTGATAAATCCTCTAAAACATAAACCACTTATAAAGCCTGACTGGAAGAAAGTCACTGAGATCACATTTCAAATAAATATTTTAGCTCTTTTTCCAAATTGATAATTAACCTTTTCTAAAATGGTTCAGCTTCTCCATAGGCATCTCAAAGTGCTTTTTATGTAATATTAATTCTGATCGTTTTTCTAACAGTAACGTGAATGGAAAGGGTTTGGCACTGTGAGAAAGCTTCATTTGGCGGTGAGGGTTTCACCTTTTATAAGAGTGAGCTCTATGTTTCATTTTGTGGTAAACATATTTACACATCCATATGCATGCATGTATTTATTTAAGGCTTCCTACAGCCTGCCTCGACTCTCAGAAAGACAGCTGGTTAACTTAGCTTAAGCCCCTCTACATGTGAACCTGGGCACTAAACATGCAACTGGAATCTAATGGAATTTCTAAAGAATAGTGTGTGCCCTGGTTGTTTCAAAGGGAGCTCATTGAAATGTATTAGAGTGTTCACAACATGTAAGATAAACGTTGGCCAGGAGAACCCACCGAGCAGCCATGAGAAGGCACTCATGATTAATTGATTGGGTGTTCTCTTGCAAACCATTACACATCACAATTAAAAATGTATTGCACAAACTGGCAGTGAGTTAAAAGTACTCCAGAAGTGAGGCTTTGTTTTGTTACACTTCGCAAAGGAAATGCTGTTAAATCAGTTGACATACAATTTGCCCTGGAATCATGGCTGTGTTGTGTATTTTAAATTCCTCGGTTCGTGGGATTTATTTTTTTTTCTTATTTTTGATATTTTTTTTTTTTTTTTGGTAGCTTTCAGAGCTTGTGTTTGGTCTTAGTAAACTGGCCTTGGGGCATCTGAAAACAAACTGCGCTTGTTAGGAAATTAGCAATGTGCAACTTGACAATGCATACAGGATGTTGCAAGACCAACTGGACAGCTAATAATGTGGCAATTACTCTAATTTTAGGTAATGGGCATTTTTTTAAAAGCCTTCACGTATCACACATGCCTGACTTGTTAGAAACTGGACACAAAAGGTAACCTGCATTTTATAGAAAACTTAAACCGTTTCCCAATTGTTTAACTTTTTTGGCAAACAGAAGGAGCACAACATGTTAGCGGATGAGAAGAGATAGACACAAAAAGGCTCCTGCTCATCTTGTACTTGATTCCCCACAATTAGGCTGTTACTGAAGTCGGTGTCTTTAAACAAATCAGAAGTTACTCATTCAAAATGTTTGTTAAAAATTAGCAAAAAAGTGAAGATTTCCCTTTTATTCCCTAATGAATGACTAGTTTTGCAGGAAGATCTTAGCAGGGATGTCCCTTTTTAGTTTCCTGGGTGTTCTGTGCTTGAGCTTTATTTGTTAAGCTCAGCTGTGTTCCCAGCCCATTGCATTTCCCTTAAGCATTCAAAGGCTTTTCTTTGTTTAGCTGCTGTAGTTGGGCTTGACAAAAATACTGTATAGGCATAAATACTCTTCTGTTTGGAAGGAGGAAACACAATTGTGAGGTTAAGAAAAAAGGAGTAGTAGCTACTATGTGTTAGCTTGAAAGAAAATGTCAAGGGATATCCCAGGGATATCCAAAAGTAAACTCTTTAGTGAAATTCACCTTCAGTTAAAATATTGGGAGTCTTGTTGTAGTTATTGATGTAATGGAATTCACTGGAAACGCCTATGGATCTTGAAATACCATCTTGTGAAAACCAGGCTTTGTGGTACTGTGTGTGACTAAACTTAACTACTGTCTCTACATTACATGGCCAGAGTTTGGTATGTAGAAAGGCATGTCCCCGAGTTAAGCAGTCCAAAGGTAAAGCAAGAGTGCATGTGACCAGGACTCTGCCCTAAATTGGTTCATGAAAATCTATTTGGCTTCTCCATGCTTCATTCATTCTCACCAACACTGGCCATTACAGGCTTAAAGGGAAAACAAGATCAGATTTATCAAGTGATTGTAGCATGGTGATTGTACCTGAAAAATAAGACCTCAAAATCAGGCATTTTGAGCAAGATAGGAGAAGCAGAAGACTGACTCCTGTTTAGAATTAAAATGGGTAAAACAGGACATGGGAAGCGTGATATTTTTGTATTCAGCCAATGCCTAGCCTATTTTTTAACAAAATAACTTCTTTTTTTTGTAAGGGGAGGGACACATTCCTAGGAAAGGTCTTGGCACAGTGATCTTTCTCCTGAGACCTCTCAGTTATTTCACCTGATTTACAGCTCTGACACATTTTATCTGAGGTCTCCAGCAGATCATTTTGCAAAGTGGATAGAGTTCTCCAAATTTGGATTCTGTTGCATTTGAGATCTTCTTTGACAACAGACAGGTGACCAAAGAGCACTTTATAGCTGCTCAATTATTTATACTTGTCTTGTTAATTGCTTTCAGTAGTACAGCCTCAGTTTCTCTCTGGGCACAATGTGCTTATGAAACAAGGAGGTAGAGATGATAGGCAGTCAAATCTGTTTGGAAGCAGGGTTTGATGGCCCCGTGGTTCAGGGCTTAGGGGAATTGCAAATGTTAGCTGATTCTAGGCAGCAGTGACTGGAATGGCCATCTTCCTCACCTGGGGCAAAACCCACCCCCATTTTCCATATAGATCATGCACTGAAAAGTAAGTAAGTCTCATTCTGTTCCTAAAATGTGACATAGCAAAAATAACGTTTTCATATTATTGTTTATGAGGAATGTCATGGTTTTTCACGAAACTTGCTTTGTGTTAGGTGACATTCCCGACCCTCCTTTAAGCGTGATGATTTCGTGTCTGAGCTGTGCAGAGCAAGATCATGCCTCATAATGTAGCACCGAATGTTAAGAAAGCCCTAACCAAACACATCTCAATTTTAAAAAGTGCTTTAGAGGATGAAGGCAGCAGCTTCCTTCCTGATGAAGCAGGTACCAGCTGCTGCGTGTAGGGTGGCTGGGAACATGTGCATCTTACTCCCCAGATCTGTGTTACTTCTGGGTGGCTTGGAGCTCTCTCTGGATTTGTTCCTAGCTTCAGAGGCAACACTTCAGTTAAAGCAAAGAGGCAACAGACTGGCATGTTTCTGATTATGCAAATACCTGTTTCAGAGGAAAGGGAATGCTTTGACACTTACGTGTTCTTTTTCTTATTAATTAGTTTAAAATTATGTGGAGGAACATTGAATTACTTGTCTGATACGCAATAAAACCGTTCTTCAGGTGCTCAAATTAAAAGACAATCTTGTGCTCTGTTGGAGAAAACATAAGCTACGTTTGCAAAATGCAAACTAAAAAATATCCAGAGGGAGTTAGAATACCTTCCTGAGTTTCATGTCTTTATCATCGCTACTGGACTTCCACTACTCCTTCTGGTTGTTCCAGAAGTGTTTTGTCTTTCTTTTCCCTTGGAATGGAGATAAAAAAACTTCACTCTGGAGGTTCTTGTCCTTCGTTTTCTGCAGTTTAGTCTGTGGAAACCTTCCTATTTACTTACAGAATGGCTCTGTACCAAAACATTGTCTCTGGCATGCCTTGCTGTTTGCTCAGCTCACCTCTGGGAAAGATTTGGTTTTGATAAGAACCATGGAAATGTTTTGCTTCTAACATGAGGTGGAAATCATATACAGCAGGAATATAGTGCCTTTCAATCTGAAAGGTCCCCAAGCACTTGACAAACTGATACCCAAACTAGCCAGCAGGAACACTAGCCACTTCTGACAGGCCCTTCCTCGGGGGTAAAGCGCAGCCCTGTTTGTGGCAAGCGGCCACGCTGTGTGACAGTTTATGGCAGGAAGCAAAGATTAGTTACTCAAAGAAGTCTCTCATGTTCTCTTTCCCATCAAAACGGGTTATATGCTGCTGTTGCACTTAACAGTTTGTGTCAGGTTCGTAGGAACTTTAATGATAAGACCAAAGTAGTTTTCATGTTCATAAAGTTAATTGTTTTTCATTGAGTTTTGGAAAAGGGCCTTTCCTTCAAATGCGGTAAGATGCAGAAGAAAAGAAATGGTGTTTGTGCTTCAATAGCATGTCAGGTGTGGAGTTGTTAAGAACAATTTTAACCTTTAATTATCGTTCAGAACAATATTTTCTCCTCAGTTTTTACCCAGTGTTTTGTGAAGTAAACGTAAATGGAGGGGGCTACAGCTTGTCAAAACCAAGCCATGTCTTCTTTTTTTGCATCTTTCAGGTTATCAAGTACAAAGAAATGAACACTTTAAAAGGAAGCAAAACTCTGAAATAGACAGCTACAGGATAGAGTAAATGCACTTTAAGAAGTATTCTCATAAGAGGGTTTCGCCTTACATGTAACACCGGTATAAACGATTAAAGAGCAGGTTTACTCTTTTAACAAGTCTGAGTGATAATTTTGCCCTTTAGGAGTGTGAATTTTATTTTTCACAGCTTTCTCCTTACTGAGATATTTATTTCAAAAGAGTTGCATTTAACTCGCAGGGCGGGTTTTTTTGTGGAGATTCCTCCACCACTTCTTCAGCTCAGGTTCTCTTTTCGAGGAGTCCGATTTGCACAGCATTAGGTTACAGTGTATGTTACCGAGATTGACCAGCAAGTGATTTATTTAATGACACAGTTGATTTCTAAGGGAAAATCAAATACACATACAATTAACTGGGAAAAAAAAAAAGCAATTCATGGAAATGTGAAAGCACATTCACTGAACGTGTGCTGAAAGTCTTTATTCTCAGGGATTTTGTATGTGGCAAGTCCTGCCTTCACTAAAGCTGGTAGCAAAATCCTCATCACCCTCTGTAGGACAGGAGTATTTACCTGATGAGGAGTGTGCATGGCTAGAACCTATCTAGAGAAAATAACCTGCAGTTTTAATTTTAAAGCCTGTGTTTTAGTGTAGCGCATAAGACATAGTATTCGGAGTGTCATGCAGTTTGTTAATGAAAGAGTCTGTAAGAGAATCCGTATTTCCTTTGCATTGAGCTCCAGGACCAATTGCTGAGCTTATATAAATATAGCTGTCACTTCTAGGGCACCTTCCATGCTGCTGCTTCCTTAAACTTGAGAAGGGAAGGTGTGTTTTGGACCAGTGAAAGGTTTACTTGCGGCTTAAGGATGTGCTTTTATCTGGAAAACTTCACATGAAATAGAGAAGTTATTTCCCAATGCAAACACACATGTTCATGGTAGTAGTCTGTCCAAATCCATTTCATGCATGAACATCATGAGACTAAAAGAAGGAATTGTGGCTTCTATAATGTGCTTTGTTCAGGCTTGAAACAGGCTGTATTTTTGATTTAGTGACTGTGTGTGTATGTAGATGTTTTAGGTTTGTTTTCAGCTTTCTAATGCTTAGGAAGTGTTTTATTGACGTAGTGCATCACGATTGAAATAACCGGAGACTATACTTTCCACTGTACATAGCAGTGGTGCTTTTAAAAATGTCCCCATCCTAGTCTCTCTTGTTTAAAATACTGAAAGGAAGAAGGAGGATGCTGAAGTAAATTTGTGACAGGCTGTGCAAGACTAGATGTGGTGGTTTTGGGGGTTCTCAGGTTCCCAAACTGCCCTGCGCTCCCCTCCACAGTCTGCATGCCCCAAGGGGTGGCCCGGGCTGGGGCACCCCAAGCTATGCTGAGCAGCTGAATGTGCACGGGCATGCTCCTCTGTACCCCTGGACATGGGGTGGATTAGGACCAGGAGCACCCTTGGTGCAGGGTGCATATGAGGCATTCCCTGGCCACTCTGGCTAGGAAATGTCAGGAAAACCAGCATAATCACTATGTTGAATATTATTCCACCCATAGAGCAGGAGGGGCCTTGGTGCCACCCAAGAGAGAGGATTGTGGCTAATGTTACAGGAAAGGAGTTCCTAGTTACTGAGTCTGTTAAATAATGCTGAGGTATAAAATATGTTGTGTTTCTTCTCCATTTACAGAAAGCAGAAGCCACTGGTGAAAAGCGACCTAGAGGCCGGCCCAGAAAATGGGTAGGTATTTCCCTTCCAATCATTTGATTTATTTGCTGTGTTATAAAGCATATTATAAAGTCCATTCTTTCAGAGAACAATTATTTCTGCTTAATTTGTAAGAAAGAGCATCCATCTTCTATGCCTGTTTGTTCTGGTGGATTAACTGAAGAGTTAAGATAACAGAGAAGTTAACCACAGCTTTCTACCTTTAGACTCTGGTAGTTTGCTCAAGACACTTTACTTTTAAATGTTTGCTGGGAGTGAATATTTTTGTGTCTCTTATCAGCATGAAAAGGGGCACAACTCTTCCTTCAAAAGAGAGTAAGGAGATAACTTGTCCAGTAATTGACTAACAAAGGTTAAAGGCGTGCTATCAGACATCAGAAGGTGATTAAGAGAGGTGATAATATTCAGATGTAATGTCTACAAGATAAAGTTTAAAAGTTTTAAAACCAAAACTTCTTTGTCCTACATTGCCTAGAAACAGCATTATTTTCCTTAATTCCAGTGACAGAGAAAAAAACAGTGGGATACTTGCACTTAGAATTTAGTTTTTCCAGTCTGGGCCATCTTCATGCCTCATATAATTGTAGTGACTAGTAATATGTTTCAGTAAAAGTTTCCTCTTTCCCTGGCCCTTTAGTCTGTAGACATGGCAATCAGGTATGTGTGGTTTGATTCTTTGGCCGTGGAAAAGTTTCAGTCTCAGATACTAGAAATGCTGTGTTCTCACTGATGTTTGCAGCGAATTAGTCTGACTTGTGCACCTCTCCTCTGCACATCTTTCACTTACGCAGAGGCTTTCAAAAGAAATGTGGTGGGGATGTCACTTGGAAAGCATGATCGGGTATTAGAAAACACGAAGTTGTGGCCGCGTGCTCCATCACAAGTTAACATTTCTGATTTCCCTTTTCCAATTCCTTTTGCCTTTATCTGCTCAGCAATTTTCCTTAAACTTATTTTTCAAATCCATCTCAATTTTGCTCCCTTATTTTACTCTGCCTTTTCTTTCCTCTCTGCAGTAAATTTTCCCCTCATTTTGTTCAGTTCTTTTGCATAGATGTCAGCACAGCCTTTAAAGTATATGCTTGCAAAAGCTCAAACAAGACCAGAAGGTACTTAAAGCTACAGCTGAGGTTCTCTGGAGTATCAGCAGCTAAATAAAGAGATGGCTTTAACAATCACTTTAAGAACTAGTTCTGTGGCATTGTCCACGGTGATAAAATACCCCAGGATATTCCTTTGGGAAAACAGACCATTGCGAACTAGATGTCTGCTTATGCCTGCAGGTTTTAAGTCAAGCAGATTTCAGGCACATGAAGAGCCTCATTGGCATTAGGAAGAAGGTGGTGTGTTCAAATGTACCTGTCCTGGTGATCTTCTCAAAGGCATCTTGCAGAAGGCAAATGCCAAGGGCAGTAAAACAAGGATCAGTTACCATCTGCTTCCTCCTGTCCAGCTCAGACCTTGCACATGTGGATTCTGAGTGTTGCTTGCTTGATCCTCACCTTGGGTGCAACCCCAGAGGAAGCAGCAGAAATAGCTGGTTTATGAGAGTAATTTATAACAGGCAGGGCATCCCCACTGTATTAGGAATGTGTGACAGTGGAATAGGGGTGGTTGAAGAGCTCTGTAAAGAGGGAAAACGCAGCAATGTGAAATGTTAAAAGGATATTCTTTCCCAAGCACTCGCAGTCAGAAACTAAGGTGAGTTTCCAGTGGAAAGGGCTAAATGCAACCCTTGTGGCATCTTTTAGGTGAGACTGTTTCCCTTTTATTTTTGTATCTTTATGGGGTAGAAAGAACAGGCAGTATCATGAAGTTTAGCATAGGATGTTTATTGGGTGCAGAATCTGATTTGCAGGAATGTGAATTACTGGCTATTTAGTGGGTATATGCATTACTTTATTGTGAGACCAGTGCAACAGTTTCGCTCATGTTTTAAGAACTTAGGCATATTTTCAAACTTGGTATTACTTTGTTACTGTGCCTGTTGAAAGCACAGTCTTCATTTGCTTATTCTGATGCTATGATTGCTTCTTGTGATTTTCAGAGATAATGCTCCTATCTGCAGCTGGCATTGAGATAATTCTATAGACTGTGAGAATCAAATACGCTTTTTATTTTCCTCTCTCCTTCTTTTCTCTTCCCAGTTTAAACTTAGGCTCATGGGTTCCTCCTGTGTGCATGATGAAATGGAGAGTGATGTTTTGGTTTGCTCCAGAAAGAAATACGGTAAAATTATTATAAGCCATGGTACCAATCATAAGCAAAGCTTATGGTTGAAATCAAGGGAGGGTTTTGCCTAAAAGCACATGGCACAGTATCAGCCTTTCTGTTTTGACATCTAACACGTACTCAGAAAGTGTCCCTTTTTATCACCTGAACTTCAGTCAAGTCCTTAGTGATTGTCTTCTTCTTTATTCCAATTTATATATCAAGCCTGAATGATGATGGTTCTGTATCAGTGAAAGTAAGGATTTTTTTCTTGGAGAGGGCAGAATTCTATATGGAAGGTATTTTCCCGAGTTTGTAACCCTTTCTTACGAGTCTAGAGATTCTGTGTCATATGTTGTTCATCAAATTGAAAAGTATTATTTCTGCTGTTTCCTTCAATATGCACATGCAGAGACATACGACCTAACAGAGCACTGCAGAATTCTGGTAGCTGGTCTTTCTGCCGGTTCAAATTAAGTATTTAATGTTTGTGACTTGCAACATATTTATTTATGTATTATTTTTTAGAAGAGAAGTAAATCTTCTTGATTACTATAAAACTGGGGAGGGGGAGGGAGAGACCAAGCGAAAAAGGCAAGTAGCTCAGTTTCTCACAAGTGTGTGAGACATCTGATGAGTTTTCAGTGTCATAATGTGCGCTTTGCAAAGTCATCAAGGAGAAGAGCCTTGTCAGTAGAAGAGACGTAAAAGCTGACAAACTCTGCTGAAAATAAAATATCCAGCTACACAGCTAAGCTTTCTAAATGTGTAGAGCTAATTAAATAAAAATCCTGGAGATAACAAGGTCAAGGTGGTGGGAAACTAACGTATTTGGAGTCAGAAACACAGTGCCTGCTGCTGTAACTCATCTTCACCATAGGTTGCTGCCCCTGTGTAAAGCACATTAGTGGCTACAAGTCCTATTAACAGAGAGGGAGGTAAACCTCTTCATGACCTTGGTACTCCTTGATTTTAGGGAATATAATGCAGCAACATGTTCTAAGCTCTTTGGATGCATCTGCATTAGTGTGTTAGGTCAAATCAAGAGTGTGCTTTGGAAATGCATCTCTTAATTGTCCCTCATGTATTACATGCATTGTGGAGCAGTCCCAGAGCTCATGGGCTGGTTTCCTTTCAACTGAAACAAAATTGGAAGTTGTGCTGCAGAAGTGCCATCCAGTAGGCGTTCAACCCATAGGACTAGGCTAGAGTGGAATTAAAACCTCTTGAAAGGTATGTGATCTGGACCTGAAGTCCTCAGCACCAGCCTTTTTTTCCCTGCTGGTCCATATTGCCTGTGTATTGTGGACATAGCCTTTGATGCTTGGAAAAGGCAGATGAAGCACACTGGGTTTTATTAGCAGAATTATTTTATGTAGCATAGGCATAACATCGGATCCATAGCCATAGAGATTTGCATTCTCGGAATGGAGTGAAAAGTTGCGCTGACTTCATCAGTGCCAGGTTTTTGCCACTTAAGGCCTCCTGTTGCTGCTGTTTGTGGAATCAGGAGCAGTTTTGCTGATGGCTTTATACAACCCTTTGTAAAGAGCTCACAGTCAATGCTTTCGTGTTTCTTTTGTTTTAATTTGTGTATGGCTAGAAGTTGATTGAAAGGAGGAGACTGAAGGGTTATGAGTAAAGCAAGAGACTGAATAATCAATTATTCTGCTGTTTGTTCCAAAGAGCTGCATTGAAAACCCCTGGAAATTTCATAGACTTCTAGTGCTCTCAGTCATTAGCTTAATGGGGAAACGTGAAACTCAGTTCTGAAGTTGATACTTAAAAGGGTATTTTTCCATTTCCACTGTTTTTGTTATATTTTTAGATAGTTTTTGGTTGTTGTTTTTTTGTTTTTGTTTCTGTTTTGCATTGTCTGATTTCAGCTCCACATTTTTTAACCTGAACCACAGATTCACTGCATGGCAAAGCAGAATTGCTCAAAAAAACCAAGCAAAAGTCCAGAGCTGCAGCTCTGGAAGCCACATGATTATAACAGCAGAGGAGAATCAGTGACTTTCCAAGTGCAGGGTACGTGTGAAGCATCCATTTGCACATCTCGTCACTGATGCCCAAGAAGCAACTGTGACTGGTTCAGAAAACTTCTCTCTTTCAAGAGTTTTGTTTTCTGCTAGATAGTCTAGGTAGCACATTTCAGGTTGGTAGGAGATAAAAGATAATCAGAAAGAAACTTAATTTCCTTAAGCAGGAGCTTTATCTGATCCAGTCATGATGACATAGATGCTACAGTACTTTTGAAGCTCAGGTTTTCCCCTTTATAATGAGGGCAGAATTTCACTTTATACTTGAAAATCAGTTTAAGCAGTGCCAAAACACATTGAAAAAAGTCATTACAAAAATGCTTTTTCTGGTAACTTTTTCTTCAGCTTATTTCCCACTGCAGTTTTGACATAGCTGAAATATCAAACCTTAAACATGGAATTTGTGCAGTGTTTCTATGCTAGCAGTTCCAGAAGGCCTGTGTGAGGCCAGGAGCTCCTAATGCTCATTCACTTGCAAGACTTTGAAAGCCAGGTTCTGAATTTTGAAGAAATGCGTATCAAGAGAGCCTTGTTGCCTCAGAAGACCCTTCAATGTTTTGAGGCTATTCCTTGCCCACAATGAAATTTTGCAAACTTTTATCTAAGTAGAAGTTTCTGTCTGTTAGTGCCATGCTCTGTCGTGTGAAGCCATTTAACTTGGTGCTTATTTCTCATTCAGCACAGTCATTTTTGTCTCATATGAAGTCATAGTCTAGGAGATGCTTAAAGTCATGCAGGCTTCTTTGCTATGTGGTAGAG